ATGTGATGAAAGCTTCTTTCCACGTTTCCGGTGCCCTCCTCCCCTCCATAATCTGGTTACAGACCTCCGTTAGTGGTTGTATCAAATAGTCTTTTAGTGTCTTATAGTACTTGGAGGTAAGTCCATCTGGGCCTGGAGATTTGCCTAGTTGCATATTCTGAATGGCACCCTCTATTTCCTGTCGTGTTATTCTATTATTTAAGATTGTCCTCTTCTCCTGAGATAGTTTGGATAGACCGTTAACTTTTAAAAATTGATCTATCTCAGACACTTCCTGAGGCCCTTGTGTATAAAGTTTTTTTGAAATATTTCTGGAAACACTTTCTAATTTCTTCTGGTTTCTGAATGTTTCTCCCTTCCACCTCTAGATTAGTGACAAAGTTCAATTTTTGTCTCTTTTTCAACTGCCATGCTAGCAGTTTTCCACATTTATTTGCCGATTCAAATGATCTTTGTTTCATTTGTTTGATTTTCCATTCCACTTCTTGATTTATCAATTTCGCATATTGAGCTTGGTGGAATTTGATTTCTCTTAAAACCTCTTTTGATTTTGGTTTTAATCTCAATTTTGTCTCTCCTTCTCTTATCTTCTCTAATATCCTATCTTTTTTCCCATTCCAAAGTTTTTTCTTGATTGTGTTCTGTTGTATCAGAAACCCCCTCATTACAGCTTTACTTGCGTCCCAGATTGTTCTCTTTTCCACCGAAGTGTTCAAATTGATTTCAAAATAGTCCTTTAAAGTTTTTTGGCCTTCTTCACAATCTCCTGATCTCTTAGTAGGGTGTCATTCATTTTCCATCTGAAAGAACCGGTTGGAGTAAGTCTCAATTCCACTTTCAAAGCATTATGGTCGGAGCAAGTCTTTGGACAGATTTCCACTTTTCTGATCTTAGGTGCCAGTCCTCTAGTTGTCCATATTTGGTCGATTCTTGTCCATGATAGGTGGGCCTCAGAAAAGAATGTTCCTTCTTTACCTAAGGGGTTCCTTGTCCTCCAAATATCAATCAAGTCCATGTTATCAGTTAGTTCAAAGAAGGTTTTAGGTAGTCTGCCGTCTTTAGTTAAATTTTGATTTTGTGACTTATCCATGTGAGTAGAAACCACCCCATTCATATCGCCCATCATTATGATGTTGGTATAGTCCAGATAGTCCAGCATTATCTCATGCAGCTTCTTGTAAAATTCCGATTTCCCCTCATTTGGTGCATATATTCCTAAAATCAAAAACTTTTCTCCTTGTGTTTGTATCTCAATTGCCAAAATTCTTCCTTGCTCATCTTTAAACAGAAATTTCGGTGACAGGTTCTCCTTTGCATAAATCACTACGCCTCTTTTCTTGACTTTGTCTGATGAAATAAATTCTTGGCCTAGTCTTTTGTTGATTAACACTTTCCTATGGAGCCTAGTCACATGCGTTTCCTGCAAGCAAACAATATCCAATTGTTCTTTTTCAAAATATGAAAAATCCTTCGTCTTTTTCCGGGAGTTCCCGCCATTTATATTCCAACTGTACAGCTGCAGAGACATTCTGAATCAATCTGTTGTTCCTATAGTGGGGTGTCTTCCTTTTCTTCTGGCCCCGAGGGTGTAGGTATCGGTGCTTTTCCAGGCAGTGGCGGTGGCCAAGAGGCTGCTGCTCCCTTCTGAAGGTCTTCTCCGTGGTCGTGCAGGAACTTCTGGTTATCTTCTGATGTTTTAATCTTAATTTTCTTTCCTTTAAAATTAAAAGATAAACCTTGGGGAAACTCCCACCTATATGGAATCGCGTTTCCTCTCAGTAGTCTTGCTAGGTCTGTATATGTGGCTCTGAGATCCAAAAGTTGTTTAGGAATATCTCTATAAAATTCTGCTCTTTTGCCTTGGATATCAAGTGATTTCTTAAAGTGGAGGCCTAGTATTTTATCTCTCTCCTGCTTGGATCTCAAAATAATCAAACAGTCTCTGGGCTTGTCCCTCCTCACGACTCTTCCTAATCTGAACGCAGTTGTGATCTTGAAATCTTTGTCCTCTTCTATACCCCAGAACTTGGAAAATTCTGCTGTCAGATAACCAATTAAATCTTCCTGTTCAAGCTCTGGGATAGCTCTTAATCTCAGATTGTTTTCCCGGTTTCTCAATTCCACCATAGACAGGTAAGCCTGCTGATCACTAATGTGCTTGTGTAGTGGCCTTACCTCCCCTTTTATAGCCTCAACTTTTTGATTTGCTTGTTCTGCTTTTTCATTGGCTGCTTCAGCCAGTCTCCGATTTTCCACAGTTGCTTCCTTGAGATTCCCAATAACTTGTGTATGTTGTGCAACTTGGTCAGACAATTTAGTAATAGAGGATGTGGCTTGATCTATTTTTGCCGATTGGTCATCCACCTTCTTGTTCAATATTGCAAATTGTTCTAACATTTGTTGTAAGAAGGTATCTGATCCTCCCTCTGCCATATCCTCTGATGCAGGCTGTGCAGTTTCCTTTTCTTGTACTCCCAAAACAGCTGGGACAGATGATCTACGTGACTGAGTAGTCAAAGTTGTTTGCACAAGTTGGGCTTGTCTTGCTTTCGTTTTCGCAGATCTTGTTTTCGGTTGGCCACTCATTCCACACCTGTCTATGAGTCAAGGTCAAGCTGTATATTGTCCCATGGGAAGGACAGTTCCAAAGTGTAAATAACAGAGCAGCAGATAGTCCAAATAAAATTTGTTCCCAGGCACTTGTAATTCCAGAACTCCACTAGGGGAGTATTACTGTAGTTCATAGAAAGGAAAGAACTTTATCCGCCATTAAAGTCCCTGCAGCCTCAAAACAGTCTAATTTACCAAAAGTTCTTCATAAACTTTTTAGCTTACAGAGCACTTCCCAAGCTGCCACAAAGTCTCAGATAAAAGGTGCCAGTAACAGTTTATTTAATTGTATCTTGCCAGTATCACTCAACTGTAACAGTCTCTATTTTGGATACAGTTTCCGCAATGACAGCTCTCTTTTTTTCCTGTCAGTCCGAGGTTTGGTTCTTAATTCTTTATAATCCATAAAGGGGAGGAAAGTCCCATTTAAAGTCCAAAACACTTAGAAATAAAAATCTTTTCTCCTTCTTTTTAAAAGCCAATTCTATCAACACGATAGTCCCAAATTTATAATCTTTTAAAGCTGCTTCCCGCTTGTTAAAATCTTTGCCTTTGATCTTTAAAGCACTGCCGGAAGACGGACTTCCTGTTTATCGTCTCCCGCTTTCAGCCAAATTTAACACTTTTAGTCCCAAAATGATTGATCCTTACTCACGAGTAGGTAGTTTAGAGCCTGATGTTCCAAGAAGAAAGGTCGGCGCTCATCAGCAGCAGCCGCGCGGCTTCGCTCCCGCAGAAAGAGCGATGAACTCACAGCACCGCTCCCCTTCCACGTTTCCGGAGCCCCTTACGGGGTTCCTTCTTCGTTTTGGGGTCGCTCCTGGTGCCCGCCGAGTCCCACGGCCACGGGCTCACTCTGCCCGTGGTTTTTCTTAATGGGTCACCGCTGTGCCGCAGCGGACGACCCTTTTCTGCGGAGCCCCTCTTCAGAGACCGAAGAGGACCGCCATTGCCGTTTCGCGCCGCCTCCAGGAAGTCTGTTCGGTGTAGATACTTTTTTAGTCTTTTGATGAATCCTGACTAGTTACCATGCTATTCCAGTAAAGAGCATCTGAATAACTGAATCATAGGGAACGAGGGAAAGTTCCTAGGGTATCTCTGTGTCAGTGGTATTGACATGGAAACATCCTGTGGCTTTGGCTAGCCAGGAAGTGACATGTGATATGGCATTCTCAGTAGCAGCCCCTATTAGGGAGCTTCCTCCTGATTCCTGCTCAGTTGTCCCTCACTCTGGCTATTCTTAGGCACACCATAGAAACTTGTTTATTCTGCCTGTAATTTGCAGTTCCATAAAGATTTCCATTGTCCAAAACAACAGAATGCACCTTTGTAAAAAAATATTATTTGGATTAAGAATGTGTTTCCTGATTAAACCTAATGCTTCAAGTTCATGCTTTCCATTTGATGTTCTTGGTCTGTATGCAGAAAGTGAATTCGTGTTTGATAGAGTCAGAATTCATTTAATATAAGAAAGAGAAGTTAATACTAGTTGTCTCTGGAGGGTCCTTGGAAAATGAATTCTTAGTAGAAGAGGCTCACATGCTCTTGATAAAAATAAAATGTGCTTCAAATTGGGGGAAAGAGAGTTGTGAAAGGCTGTTTTTACTGCATCTATATTTTACCGGTTTTTAACTGACATTATTATCATCAATATTTCACTGCCTGACATTTAAAACATGGTTTAATCTTCAGTTTTCTTCAGAACCACCTTGCTCATATTTATTTTGGATATTTCCACTATCTTAGACTGTCAGAATCAATTCAGACATTAATCAAAGGTGTGTTTGGATGTTACTTTGTCTCCTGTTTGCATACAACTCCCATCTTATGGTGGCTGTATTGGCTTCTGGGCTCAAATTGAAGTAGTTTTAGCTTAATTCAGCTTAGGATAATGTAATTTTTCCAGACTTTTTGGTTCCATATAGGTTTAGTTTGGAAAGTGATACAAACTTCAGTGGCCCTGGTCTTGGATTCCTCTCACAACTTTGTGAGCACAAGAGACAGGGCCTTCTCTGTGGTCGTCAACACATCTCTACAACGCTCTCCCAGAAATCCGGCAGGCTCCCTCTTTGTGTCTGTTCCACCAATTATTGAATACATTATTCTTACTTTGATTGGCTTTTAATGTGCAACACTCAGGTCTATAGTACTGTACCCACCTGCCCAGAGTTGGGGCCCATTTAGCTTAATGGTACTTACCGGTAACTTCTGAATAAACATGTATAGGATTGTACTGTTAGCTTTATTGCTTTAATGGTTTAACCTTGCTACTATAAGGTCGCATGTGTGTATATAAGAGAGAGTGAGTGAGTTGTGTTGTATGTTCTTTTTTATTATTTTTAGAAATCATAGAATCAGAATTGTAGAGTAGGAAGGGACCTTGAAGACCATCTTCAATGCAGGGATTGAAACTGCAACCTTGGCATTATCAGCACCACACTCTAACCAACTGAGCTTGTTAGTTGTATTTGTATGTATTTATTTCCTGCCATGGAATTGCACCTGTAGAAAGATAGGACATTGTGCCCACTGCCCACCATCCTCTTCCTAGATGGGTATTGAATGCTGTGTGGAAGAAATTCTGGCTTAGAAGTTCTACTTACAAATTAGGACGTGACATTTTTACAGAATGACATAAGCATGAAGGATATGTTGCGATGTACAAACTAGACAACTAGACTTCTCCCCCTCTCCCACCATTCTGTCCCATGCTTTACAACTACAACAGCTTCTACTTTCCTGACACAGAACACTGGGGCTAGGGGAACAAAATATTTTTGGAGGAAACTGGTTATCTGGACATTTCGGTCTGGGTTCAGGCCTGGTTTGGGGACAAAATTGCCCTTGGTTGCCCTGATGGATCATCTCTTCAGGGAGAGAGACAGAGGAAGTTTAGTCTTGTTAATCATGCTGGATCTCTCAGTGGTTTTTGATTCTGTTGAACACAGCATGCCCTCGGATTCTGTCTGTGGGCTGAGGGTCAGAGGCACTGGATTATAGTAGTTCAACTCCTACCTGTGTCCTGAGCAACCCCAGGACATCCCTGATGTCCTGCAGTGCTACACACACACACACACACACACACACACACACACACACACTTCCAGCCTCAAGGCAGCTGTCCCCAGGTCTGTGTCCTGCAGAGCAGTTGCAGCAACAGTGGGACACCCCCTGCCTTCTTTATGTACTCTTGCTACCCAGAAGCCGTAATTGTTCTTCCCTCTTCAAGCCACTCCTGGTTCTAGGAGTCAGTGCAGCAGGGATAAGAGGGATTTGACTGGCTTGTCCCTCACCTCAACAGTCTCTTCTTCTGCTCCCAACACATCTTGCACACCTTCATCTGCCTCACACTGCTCTGAGCCTTCTTCCTCACCATTCCCTGTTTCATGGGTGGCACCAACCCCCATAAACTTCTGGTCCCCTCTTCTGGGCCAATTTCCTGCCCCCCTGCCTCCGCCACACACTTGTCAGAGCCCTGCCAGCCCCTGTCAACCTGCAGAGATGGTTCCTTCGAGTGGCGTTGAGTGACTGTGCCTCAGCCCCCTGGCAGTTAACCGTAAGGTGCTGCATAGCAGCATATGTTTAATGTATATCCACAGCTGGGAGCAGTCATTAGATTTGGAATGAAGTGTTACCAATATAAAAAATGACCCTCGGGCTCTATTACAGAGAAATAAATTCGTAAGAAGCCAGGCATCTCTTGAATCAGTTACTGGACACAAAAATAGAGGGTTAATAAACTGGGGGAGGGCTAATAAACTGAGACTGAATATTGACAAGACAGAGAACCAGTGGATGAGTGGTTCCTGGATCCAAGAATTGGGCCTGGTATGTCTGCCTGTTCTGGATGCCCTTGGAGCAGGTACACAATCTGAGAGTATTGTTTGATCTCTCTCTCAAAAGAAGTCAATTGACCTCTGCGGCATGGAGTGCTCACGACCAATTTTTTACATCACTGTTAGATTACTGTAATGAGTTCTATGGGCTTAGTTGGGACTCTACAGCTAGCGTAGACTGATGTGGCAAAGTACTGAGTGGTATATCTGGCCGAACACATTTGTGCTGGTGCTTAAGGATCTGCACTGGCTGCTTGTTCGCTACCAAGCCAAGTTCAAGGTTTCATTCTTGAGATAGAAAGGTCTAAAGGGCTTGGGACTAGCATACCCAGCAGACCACTTTTCCTGCTATGGGATAAGCTATCAAAATAAAGGCTAATAAACGTTAGATGTGATGCCTAGTTGTGGCATCTTGTTTTAGTCAATCGCAGCTCTGTTTACTTATTTTGTTTGCTAACCATCACATTAAGATGCACAATGAAGTGTCATATTGTACCCTAAGGGCAGATTTCACTATCTATGCATTCAGTAAACAGGCAGCAAGATAAGTGTTGGGTTGTGAACAAGTGGTAATACTTGTGACAGGCAGATACTAATATCTTTGTGTGCTTGGTGACTTTCCACAACATAAAGCCAATCTTCATGGTAATCAACAGTGAAGGCAATTTCACTGGCACTCTGTTTAGAAATGCTGGTGCAAAAGCATTCTTCTATTAAATTTTAGCAAAAGCTATACACTGATGAGGTAACGCTAAGTTAGGGCAATACAGTTGTGATTTACTAGTCTACTTTCTCTACCCTACTTTTAACTGATAAAATACAATCTGCTGATTTGTTTTGTTATAGTAGCTTATAAATTAACTGGTGGAAATATTTATAATCTATCAGAAATAATTTATATGCTGTAAAACTAAACAATTCTCCTGTAATATTAAGCATTCGTGTACCTAACAAATAATAGCCTATCATAAAACTCAGGAAGCTCTCAATGGAAGCTCTGCAGACAATATGCATTCCTTGTAATAGCTTGATTTAATTTGGCAGATTGGATTTAATGCAATAAATTCTTCAGATTTTACCACAACTGAGTTTAATCTTACTTGGGGGGGAAATGACAGTGGAAAAGCACAGATGCAATCTGTATTTGTCCTTTTTTTTTTTGTCTTTTCTAAATTCAAGTTACTGTAGCTGTTCTGATAGATGACACTTTGGTATTTTTCTCATGTATCTTTTTAGATACATACAGACCAGAATGAAGGCTATAGAATAGCTCAGAAAAGGAAAGGCACAGACCTTTTCATTCACAATATTTGATTTTTTTCTTAATAAACCTTACATGGGAAGGAAAGTAGATTCAAAAAGAAAACCTTAGAACCAAATCTCAGAATCAGGTATGACCCAATTGAAATCAATATAACTAAACCATCAAATGGTATCAAAGTACCACTGATATCAGAGGGCTTCAGATGCACATAATGTTGTATGAGATGTGTTTATAAGCACTGTGTCGGAGAACACATAGTAACAAGAGGTACATGGTGTCAAATGTCAAGTGTACAGGGAATAAAGTATCATATCCAGCTACTTTGTTAGGTATATGTTCTGCCATACAGAAGTTTTGTGTGTGTGTGTGTGTGTGTGTGTGTGTGTAGGAGAAAGCTGTTGCAGTCATATCTTGCTTGTGGGCTTCCCATAGCCATCTGATTAGCCACTGTGGAGGCTAGAAAGGGCTTTAATCTGATCCATCAACCTTCTTTTTCTGCTTAGTAAAGGTAAAGGGACCCCTGACCATTAGGTCCAGTCATGGCCGACTCTGGGGTTGCGGCACTCATCTCACTTTATTGGCCGAGGGAGCCGGCGTACAGCTTCCGGGTCATGTGGCCAGCATGACCAAGCTGCCTCTGGCGAACCAGAGTAGCGCACGGAAACGCTGTTTACCTTCCTAGCAGAGTGGTACCTATTTATCTACTTGCACTTTGACGTGCTTTCGAACTTCTAGGTTGGCAGGAGCAGGGACTGAGCAACGGGAGCTCACCCCTTCGCAGGGATTCGAACTGCCAACCTTCTGATCGGCAAGTCCTGGGCTCTGTCCTAGGACGCGCCACCCGCATCCCTTCTTCTGCTTACTAGCGCACAAATGTATGCACTGGGCACCCTATAGAAGCAAAGTCCTCTTGATATGCAGCACTATGGTCTGTGGGTGTCTGTCTAAGTACAGGTGGTCACCATTTTAGGCTCATCCAAATGATGTGCGATTGCCAGCGCCCAGGTCCTTTTGGATCTGGAAGAGGGAGGAACATGGTAGCGGTGGAATGGGGTGAGGAACGCTGATGCGCCAGGGTGGTGGCGGCCGGGAATGGAATCCCCACATGAAATTATTGTTTCCTATTGAGCCTGAGGAACTCCTGGGGCTCTACAATTATTTTTAAAGTGAAAGCAGACATGTTGGTCCATAAGGTGGGTGGGGGAAATCCACAGGCAATCCTTTTATTAGGGCCAACTAAAATTGTGGCAGGTTTTTGAGTTATCTAGATGTGCATCTGCATTGGCACAGATGCTGTACGTAGAGAGCTGTTCCCATGCACACATGTAGACTGTTTACTTACACGTCCACAGATAAGAGGAAATGCATCACTCATAAAGGGGAAAAAAGTGTATGTAGATAATGCAAAGGGGACATGGGTGGTGCTGTGGTCTAAACCATTGAGCCTAGGGCTTGGTGATTGGAAGGTCGGCGGTTCAAGCTCCCATTGCTCAGTCCCAGCTCCTGCCAACCTAGCAGTTCAAAAGCACATCAAAGTGCAAGTAGATAAATAGGTACCGCTCCGGCGGAAAGGTAAACAGCGTTTCCATGTGCTGCTCTGGTTCCGCCATAAGCAGCTTAGTCATGCTGGCCACATGACCCGGAAAAACTGTCTGTGGACAAACGTCAGCTGCCTCGGCCAGTAAAGTGAGATGAGCGCTGCAACCCCAGAGTCGTTCGTGACTGGACTGAACTGTCAGGGGTCCTTTACCTTTACGACAATGCAAATTTATATACAGATGCAAATTTATATGCACTATAGTTAAAATAGCAAGGCAATACATCTCACCATAGTTGTGAAGACCATGACCAGGTTTGTCTGTGTGCCTGTTCAGTCTCTGTCCAGCTCCTAACTGTTGAAGTGGCCCTGCTGTCCCTTCTTGGTTATCTTTGAAACTGGACTTGGACCAGGCAGCCCTTCAAAGAGAGGACTCATTCAAGCAGAATGCTGTCCTCTGACAGAACTTCAGAAAAAGGACTGTCCTATGTAAAGTAGGAGTTACAGCCAACCTATGCAGATCCCACTTGCTAGATCATTTGTCACTTGGTACCTGATTACTAAAGATTCACGGAATGTCACAGCTTTAATCACATGTGTGTTCCCCCATTCCCCTCCAAAATGTGCGATGGTTACCTAGTCTCATATCTCAGTATGCAGCTTATATATCTTGCTCTTGTTTAAGAACCCAATTTTATTTTTTATTTTTTTATATAATAATAATAAAAAAACCCTGTCAGGTTTCTCTGCTCTGGAATCCATAGAAAATTGATTTTTCCACCACCTCCACAGCTTTCCTTGGTTTTCGTGCAGCATAAACC